ATTTGAAAAGAACAGTCTTTACCACTTAAAAACAGGATTAAACAAAGGAAAATTATACTTGCATTTGGTGGCTTCTTTTTAATTAACTGGACCGATTTAGCATAGGGATGCATCAATTTAGCTTTAAATTGCTGTGATCTCTGACAGAGATCGTGTATTCTTGGCTGGCCTCTCTGGCCATATGAACCATCCCATCTCCTTTTTCCCATTATCCTCTGTTCTCCAGGAAAAAAAAATGGACTTACCATTTACATTCTCCTCTGGAAAGTTGAAAGTGATATTTGACTTTGTTTCAATTCCAACATTTTCAAACCCTTTACCTTTGATCAATTGCAGAAATAAAGGCTAAATGTGAACCAAAAGCTAGAAATAGAAAATTTTTTTTGCCTCCAAGTCAATTTGTAGAAGGAAAAGAACCATCTGGGTCCACTCCAACTTGCAATGAGCAACTCAAGGCATCTCCCACTTGCAGAAGTGCAAGGTCACGGAAAGACTGAAGTAAGCGAATGGCCTGGGATCTAGTTATATGAGTGGGAACTTGGGTTCAGAGTATCTGTTTCTTCAAGAGTGACCTAAACACACAGTGTTTATCATCCTTTCTGGCTGAGCTAAGGAACGAGCCAGCCATTTCAGATAGGCCATGAGTCATGGGTTTCAAAAAAAGAAGAAATTCCTATTGTTACATATTTTTATACATGTTTAATAGGCGATGAAACAGCTGCTACTGTTAATAACTTTCACAGAAAACATGCACTTAAACACTCACTCCCTTTGTCACTGGAGTCGGTATCAAGCTGGAAGTGACTTCTCCTGGTTGCTTAGTGGGGGACCCAGTATCCTCAGGATCAGACAGAGAATGGGAGGTAGCTAACTTCTAACGGTCCTCAAGGATCCCTGGTTCTTAGTATTCACACTCTGTAGTTTCTTCTACTTGAGTGTGGCTGGATCTAGTGCCTTGCTTCTAACAAACATAATTTGGCCATGGTGATAGGATGTCACTCCCATGGCTAGGTTACAAAAGGTCATGACTTCCAATCTGCTAACTGACGTTCTTCCTTGCTGGCTTGAATGAAGCCTGCAGCCATGCTTGGGAGGCCTAGCAGCAAGGTATTAGGAGCAGCCTCTCACTAAAAGCCAGCAAAGAACCAAGGCCCTTGTTCCAGGAGCCCACGAGAAACTAAATTCTGCCTCCTACCAAGTGAGTTTGGAAGCAGATGAGACCCGTCGAGCCTTCAGATGAGACCTCAGCCTTGGCTGACACCTGGACTGTAGCCTTGTGAGAGATCTGAAGTAGAGGACCCAGAAAAGCGGTGCCCAGGTTTCTGACCCCCAGAAACTAACTTGCGATGCAGCAGTAGATAATCAATACAGCAGGCACCATGAGCACTGGGTTAGTATCCTGCTGCACATTGCTGGCAGTAGCCTGCTTTCTCCTCAGCACCAGAACATTTGTCCAGAAACTAACTTGCGACGCAGCAGTAGATAATTAATACAGCAGGCACCACGAGCACTGGGTTAGCATCCTGATGCATATTGCTGGCCCAGTAGCCTGCTTTCCCCTCAGCACCAGAACATTTGTCATGATGAACTCAATGCCCCACTTCTCAGCTAAAGCAGCAGCTCCCAGAGAGCAGGCACTGGGTCCTCACCACCATCCACCGTCATTATTCACAGGGCCCAGCACATGGCAGGAGCTCCGTAAATATTTGAATTGATGAACTATTTGTGTTAGGTTGAGGACCGGGGAAGCAGGAAACCTTCACCTTCGATTCCTAATATTAAAAAGGTACTTGTTCTTATGAAAATAAAAGAAGAAAACATGGGGCCGGGCTCGGTGGCTCAGTCTGTAATCCTGCACTTTGGGAGGCCGAGGTGAGTGAATTGTCTGAACCCGCGGGTTCGAGAACCGCCTGGGCAACTTGGCGAGACTTCATCTCTGCAATAAATCAAGAAAATGAGCCAGGCGTGGTAGCGCGCTCCTGTAGTTCCAGTTCCTTGGAAGGCTGAGGCAGAAGGATTGCCGGAGCCTAGCAGGTCGAGGCTGCGGTGGCCGGGAGCGGCCACTGCACTCCAGTCTGGGCGACAGAGTGAGACTCCATTCGACTCAAAAAAAAAAGAAAGAAAACATGGTGGCTACTTGAGAGGAACGTGTCATAGACCGTGGGGCTCGACCCAGGTGGCAGGCTTGGACCGAGGTCTGAGAGGTAAGCTTGGCAGGTCCTGTTCCTGGCTGAGCCATCTGCACCTGGAAAGACTGCTGTCCTGCCTGCTCAGAGGTTCACCTTTATGGTGCTGGTGTCCTCAGAGGCAGAACCAGAATTCTAGGAAGAAAGGGACACACTTAGGGAACCTGGTTCCAGTCTCCAACCAGAAAACATGTGGTCTTTAACTTTTGCATTCACCACTCTCTCTGCTCACAATGCTTGATCCACCTTTCATCCTTGCTTACTTGGTAAACTTTTAATCATCCTTCAAAACCCAGTTCGACATCAGCTCCTCCTGCTCAAACCTTTCTGGCCCTCCCCACTCAGAAGTCCACTCTCCTCCCTCCCATTCTGCTCTGGCTGAGCCTGCAGGACCCTAATAATCCAGGGACACACCTGTCTTCCCTAACAAACCAGGAGCCTCTGTCTCTCCAGGACCCAGATTAGAGCTGACACACCTCAAACCCACTCCTGACAGACCAGTCCCCACCTCTCTGTGCCCGGAGAGCTACAAAAGACTGCTGTTTTCACTCTCCCAGCCCCCCGAGGTTGAGGCACCCTATGACCTCCCTTAGAATGAGGAACTAGGGAGAAGCAACAGGAAGACATTTGGTGAACAGAGAGTGCACTCCGGAGAGAATGTTCCAACCTTGTGAACCTCAGCTGGGGGCTGAGACGAGGAGGGAGGTAGAGAGAGCAGCTGTGAAAACACCTCAGTGGGCGGCGAGAGGTCAGTTCTGTCAGCAGGCCTCTCCCTTCGAGGCTGACGGTTGTGTCATCGTGAGAGTAGCGCTGGTTTGTGTCAACTGCTCTCAGACCAGGGGAGACTGGCCGACTCCATGAGGAAAAGTCCTGCCCCTGAAGCATGGGACCTAGCAGGTGGCACATGGCAAGGGACAGCAGGGTCAGTGGCTTTCTTGGAACCAGAGTGGACAGATTCTTGAGGCCAGAAGATGCATGGGAAGCAGGGAGTAAAAGCACGTGGTCCCTGCTGGCCAGCGTGGCCCCAGGAGAGAGAGCCAGCATGTGATCAGCTCAGCTGATCGGCTCAGCTCTGGCCAGGTCACCCTCAGAGGAGCACGATCGCCGCAGAGGACTCCACCAGAGGAAGAGCAACTCAGGAGTGTGACTGGGGCCGACACGAGAGCACATCCTTCGGGGACAACAGTGCAAGTGGAAGCACCAAGAGGCAAGAATGTTTAGTCACACCTACACGTACAAACACGCACACTGATCTGCACAGAAAAGAAATCTGGGAGAAAATACGCCAAAACAGAAACAGTCGTTATCCGGGTGGGAGAGGATTGGTGTTTTGGAAAACAGTTTTCCTTTATAGTTTTCCAGTTTATTTTCTAAAACCCCCACAACAAACATGCCTATTTCTTATAACTGTCAAAGATGTGGAGCCAGGAAGGCGTACCACCTGAGGAGAACACAAGGGGTGTGGATCTCCCGGGACTCACCCCACAAGCTGGCAGTGCATAATCACAGGAATGTATTGATAAGAGATCATCACTCTGGAAGTTAGAGTCTGAAATCCGGGTGTTGGCAGGGTTGGTTCCTTCTGGGGGTTCTGAGGGAGAATCTGTCCCATGCCTCTCCCCAACTCCTGGTGGTTGCCAGAAAAACCTGGCACTCCTCGGCTTACGGCAGCATCACTCCAAACTCTTCACATGACATGTGCCCTGTGTCTTAGGATGGGGAAGGGGCTACCCTAAGACAGTATGACCTCATGATAACCTGGTTACATCCGCAAAGGTCCTATTTCCAAATAAGATCACAGTCATACAGAGGACTTCAGCCTATCTTTTGAGGGGACACAATTCAACCCATAACAATATAGTTAGCCCGAAGGAAAATAAGACACAAAGGGTTTGTGGCCCTAGTCTTTAAATATTGGCAGGCTCTTCCATTTTGGAAGGATTCAAATTCATCTATGTGGCTTTACAAAGAAGAAATGGAATCAAAGGGTGGACGCTCCCCAGACAGACTCGGTCTTAAACAGCTGTCCTAAAAAGAACACAGCTATCCTAAGCTAGACTGGCCATCCTGGGTGGAGAATTCCTTGTCTCAATGGGCCTTGGACCAGACTGACCACCCCCCAATCTCTGATGTGGCATTGGGAGGGAGCGTTGGACTTAATAATTTTAAGGTCCTGGCAGCCCTGAGATTCTGTGACCTATACAGGCATCAGCCAAGATGTAAGCATTACCCAGCACTGGGCAGGCCACCTGCATACTGGCTATGCAGTATCATGATATCTTGGCTCCACCCAAACTGGGCAGCCCCTGATCTTAAAAACAAGCTGCTCTGTCTGCCATTGTTCTTTTGGTCTTTCAAAGAAAGCTGGAGACTACACATTCAGAGTTGGTTGATGCCAACACATCCCGACTTGGTTGATGCCAACAAGGTAAAGGAAGGCATCAACCAAGTTGGGAGACATGGAACTCCAGGCGTTAAACCACATAAAGAACTCCCACATTCCTGATTTTAAGGGTGTTTCCATGCCCTGACAGTACCAAGGAACCACCCTACGTCTCCAGGTCAAGCCTGCTAGAGGCTGAAGGCCCACAGACCAGGGTCAGAACAGCTAAGAAACAGCCTGCAGTTTGTTTAGACACAGTGAGGACTGCCCCAAGAATAATATTTACATAAGAAATAGCAGTAACATTGCAAGTTAAGTTTGTTTATTTTTTTTAAAAAAGAGACAAAATCTTGTTTGTGGTGAGAAGAAAACACTGTCCTTCAAAAGCACCTCTTCCTCTCACCCCAAATAGAAGACATAAAGCCACTCACCTCTCCACGGGGTCCCTGAGCATGACAATCAGCTTGGCATTTGGTTGGAAGGCGTGGATGAAATCCTGGGTCAGAAATGGTGGCTCGCCGTCCGTGCTGTTGTCATAGAAAAACATCCAGGCATTGTTATCCCACATCGTGGAGGCACTGGCCTCACCTGGAAACAGAACACATCGCAAGTGAACAGCAGCGGGACTATGGGCTCTCACAGAGGCGCCCTATGTGTCGGAGGCCAAATTTGATCCCAATGCCTTCCTCCTAGACAGCAGAGAAGGGCGAACTGGTCAGTCATTGCCAGCAGATGGGATTCCAAGGGGAGGAGGATGGACGCCCACCGTGCCACAGTCACACCCTAATTCCACCCCAGATACCTCTGTCTGGAAATTCAGGTGACCCACACAAGACCAGGTAGCCCCTGGTTCTCCTCTCTCCAAGGTGAGCAAAAAATAGCACCTTCACTAGCATCTGGAACTCCCCATTTTGCAATATTCAACTTTGCTCATGGCGCAGAGCTCTGTGAAATGCTAAAGGTTCACTGAGAATGTACTGGAGTTTCCTTTCAAAAGTGTCAGGGGTAAAGGAATAGTTGAGAACCTAACCCTCATTAGGAAATCAGGCACGGTTTGCATCTGTCTTTCCTTGAAACCATCATGGTTAGTCGCGGGGCGCACACTAAGACCAAAAGAGAGGAAGGCTTTGACAGAAGGCTCACTGGCCTCAGCCCTGGGTTCTGTCTCCTGTGTGGCTACTGCCTGCATGTGGTTGGTGTCTACTCAGTGCTGACCAGGTGAACAGCCACTGGGACCCAGACTGTTTCATCATGAACTCCGTGACTGAAGGGCAAAAATGGCAAACACACAACCTAGAACAGAGACGAGACCAAGACACAGATGCTTCAGCGCCACGGACCTCTCAGATGAGGGAGTGAATTCCCTGGGGTTTTTGTGCTGCTGTGGTGTGTTTGTTTGTTTTTAGGAAAGTCTTTAGAAATTTAGAAAGAAAGGCAAATCAATCCCTCGGCTCTGCACTCGATTTCCAGACATTTTGCCTAGTACTAAAGGATACATCTCAACGTCACTTATTCAGGCAAAATCTGCGTCAAAAGACCGAGTCTCTGGTCAGTGACAAGTACATCAAACACTGCAGGAAGTCACCAGGGCCTCATTTGTTCTGCTGGGTGTGTGATCACGGTCAGGCCAACAGCTCTGTTCTGGCCTATTCTTTTTTTTTTTTTTTTTTAAGAGATGATACCATAGGATATAGAAAAGACAAGTTAATCAGAAGTTGTTTTGAAAATTCTACTCACAGTGACTAAAGGAATAATATAAAGACAAGTGAGCTCTCTACCTAAATTGGCACAGATTCCATCAAATATCAAAAATGATTAGGTTCTAGAACCACAGAAGCATTCGTCCATCCACCTGTCTGTCTTCTCTACATCCATCCACTGTCCATCCTTCATCCACCCAAAAAGCATTCATGTGGTGTCTAATCTGTGCTCCAAATTGTGCTTGGCACTGGGGACAGATGAGGACATAAGCCACGGCCCCTCCCCTTCTCAGACCTTAAAAACTAAGAAAGACAGTTCAAGGAGCAAGGTACCTCCTGGGGTACCCTGGGAGCAGATGCAGGGTCCTTTCACATGTCTCAAGTCCCAGGCCCAAGGTCAGCCATCAAATTCAGGCCACTCGAGTCCTGAACCTCCTGTGTGACTCTAGCTGTTAGCACAGATGGCTGAGAAAGGCCCTTTTCAACCTATGGGCCGAAGATGATGAAAGTCTCTCCTATCTCTGTCCAGGGTCTAACCAGGAGGAAGAGTTGAAACAGCTGAATCACATTTTAGGGCTGGGAGGAGCCTGGAAACGACCTGTCTCAACGATCCCACTCTACAGACATGCAGACTGAGTCCCGGAACAGGAAAAACAACTTGTCACATGGCACAGAGCTGGTGGTGAGCACAGGCTGGATTACATCTGTGTAGTCTTCATCTGCTTCTCTACCCTGCCGGTCACACCATGGAGCTACCGTAAAACTCACCAAACTCTGCTTTAAGTAGACCTCAGCACAGTAATTTTATTCTTTGTTCTTTATTCAATCAAGAAGTAAAACCAGGAAACTAAACCAAGGCTTTCCTTTTTCATTCATTATCTTAGTGTCTGTTTCCTGGACCAAGAATGCATATTTTCAGCTCTTTCATAAAAACATGAGATTTTCTCAGAGGCATATGGTCTGCGAGTTACAGTGAAATATATTAGGTTTTTCATTTGGGGAGTTTGGACCCCCAAGTTTTCAAAAGACTAGCTAATAGCCAATTTATACTGGAGGTGACGCCCCGTGACCTGATTTCTTTGAGTTAAAAAATCGAATATATAAATCAGGGCTGAGGACATAAGACTCCAAAGTAAAAACTCATCTTTCAAAGGGCTGATTGCAGTTCCTCTTAGTAGCTAATTGTTTCATTTAATTTGGAGATTCAAAATATTACAGAGCTAGGAAAATTAAACAACAGATCACTGCCTCAGATCAACAATTTAAGCAAAATATGTGATTAAATCTCACTATTTCAAAAGACAGAAGAGGATAAATGTCTTCGAAGTCGAATCCAATAAAAAGAGTCATGTCAGATGAATCAAATCTAGGGACATAACCCACAGCATGTGAACCACAGTTAATAATGCTGTATTGTAGCCGGGCTCCACGGCTCAGCCTGTCGTCCCGCGCCTTTGGGAGGCTGAGGTGAGCGGATGGCCTGAGCCCGCGGGTTCGAGACCCGCCTGGGCAGCGAGACCTCATCTCTACGATAAATCAAAAAACCAGCCGGGCGTGGTAGCGCGTGCCTGTAATGCCGGCTACTCGGAAGGCTGAGGCGGAAGGATCGCCGGAGCCCAGCAGGTCGAGGCTGCAGGGGCCGAGAGCGGCCACTGCACTCCAGTCTGGGCGACAGGGTGAGACTCCAACTCAAAAAAATAAAAAAATAAAAATAAAAAATGAATGAATATGTTTATCTAGAAATCATTCTTATGAGTATTTAAAACAAATGATTATCAATCAAACAGCCTCCTTTGGAATGCCCAAAGGCATTAGGTTGACAGGTTTTTTAAACAGCTATTCGTCATAGGCAAGGTGCGAGGGCTGTGTCCATTCCAGGAGACGCTGTCTCCATCTTTATAGGTCCCAGCAGCCAGGGATTACAAAAGCCCTAGGTCATACATCGATGACTAACCAGTTAATCGCATTTGTGAATTCCCATCCCAACTTACTCCGGTCAGTAGATCAGGAAAAGAAGTCAATATGTCTGCTTAGATAAATAAAACCAAAAAATGGCAACTTTTTTTTTAAAGCCATCAGCTATCCTTCTGTAGAATCAGAAAGTCACCATTTCTGCTTCATAGCAAAAGTGATTATGTGAACACTGGAGAGGCAAGGGTGCCAGCCAGGTGCGGAAATAGAGGCTCAGCAGAAGTCTGCATCAACCAAACCAACGATCTGCGGGTGAAGCAAATCTGGGCTAGGCCCAGAGCATGAGCTGGGTTCCCAGAGAGGGTGCCGAGACCCCAGAGCATGAGCCAGGATCATTCCAGAGAGGGTGCCGAGACCCCCAGAGCATGAGCTGGGACTCCAGGGAGGACACCCCACCCCCCCACCCCCTCCTCCCAAAGCGACAAAGAAGCCATACCGATGATGATTTTATTCACATTGCTCTGTTCCTTAGCAGCGCTGGCCTGCAGTGCTTGATGGATTTGGTGTGCGGCCAAGTCAAAAAGGTCCAGATAATCTTCCACGGGGTAGCGGTCTCGCAGTCCATCTCTCAGGCGGACGATTCCTACAAGAACCAAGAAACAGGAGTTACTGGAGGAGTTGCCACTGCTTGGTTGTGGCCTCCTGGAGAGAAACAAGAGAGGGACGGAAAGCCCAAGGGGCCTGAGTCCAGCAGCCAAAGCCTCAGCCCAGCTAAGCTTCAGAAGGAGGCAACTGGGGATGGGGTGCAGGTCTCTGCAGACCAGCTGTCCTCTTTTGAACCCTGCATGCTTCATGGGGCGGAAGACACTGCCACTAAGCTGGGCAGTGGCAGTGGCAGCGGCAGCTTTGAGGCTGGCCAACAACTCAAGAGTGATAAACATATGTGCTTGGCGGGCCAGAGAGTTTGGAGCTGTACAGGAGGGAAGCATTGTGTCCAACAGGAAGAAGGAGAAAGGGCAGACCACGGGGGAGAGGGGAGGAACATCCAATAAACTCCACGATGTCATCTGCATCATGGCCCAGCCAGTATCTTCCTGATGTTCTCTCTCCTGACCTGTTCAATCAAGCGGCCCCGTCCATTGGTCCAAACAATAAGGGGAACTGATCAACCCCTGGACAGACACCAATTTGGAGAGAAGAAACATAAAAAGATTCTGGCATCATTGTTCACAACAGCAAAAACATGGAACTAACCGTGCTGCCCATCAAAAGAGGACTGACTGGATAAAAAAAAAAAAATTGTGATACATATACATGACGAATATTACACAGCCATAAAGAAGGACAAAATTATGAACTTCACAGCAACCTGGATGGACTTAGAATCTACAGTACTGGGTGGCCTATCACAGAAACAAAGAACTGAGTGTGACATGTACTCACTTATAAGTGGAACTTGAACAATTATCGTAATACTATAAGAAAAGGATTGGCAGTAGTGGGAAACTGCCAGGGGAGGGAGGGACACACCTCCACAACAAATGAACACTTGTATACCTAACCCTGAATTGTACCCCGTATCTTTAAAATAAAAAATAACATAAAAAAAGATTCTGGCATCCGCCACATACAGCCTAAACTCACCCTCTGCCTTTAAAATGCATAAATTTCACTTGCAAACATTTTTAAAACACACTGTTCAACACCGCAGCTACTAAAGTCAATGGAAAGTGGAAAGAGGACATTCATGGCCAAAACAACAAGAGGTTCAAGGTGACATTGAAGACGAGATTCCAGAGGCACGCCTCTGTCTTTCCTCTTTCCTGCCAGCGGAAAGCTGGTTTTCATTAAGGGGAAATCACCGTGGGCTGTGGGGGGAGCAGGGGAGTGTGTTCAGACATGCCCAGCGAATGCGCAGGGACATGGAACACGGAGACTTGGCTCCTACCACGGCCACTGCTGAACCACAAAAGAAACATTTACACTTTCGTTCACTCCAGGATGAACAAGGGGGTGGAATTAAACGTTTGTCAGGAAGCACATTAAGAATTGGTCTAAGGAAAACTTTGAAGGTTCCCTTCCAGGCAACCTGGGTCTCTTATGTAGAAACGCCCTCGTGACCTGCACTCTGGCTGACAACAGGCATGTATCACCCCTTAGCTCCGGTGACCAAACGTCTCCTGGCAGAAGGGAAAAGGTTACGAAGAGGAAACAGTGACCTGAAGGCTGCAGGGTGCCGGGGCTGCTAGAGCAGGGAGGGGCAGACAGTGCACATGCCCAGCCCGTGACAAAGGCCTCCAGAACCATCTCCATGTGGTTTTCATACCAAACCCATGGGGCAGACAGGGCAGGCCAGAGAAGCTGAGGTCCCAAGCAGCTCTGTCTCCTCCAGGTGTGGGGGCTGCAGCTAGAACAGCACAGGCTGGGACCGGCACAAAGTTGGGAGTCCAGAGCCCAGGCCATGTGTCCCTCACTGGCCTAGCCACCAGCACCTACCACACACGGCTGGGGTCATGTGCCCAGGCTCTCAGGACAAGACCAGTTGCCCGTTCCGCCCCTATCCCCTTGCCCTGCACACAGCTGGCACTCAGCCAATGCTCACTGAGTGGTTGTCAAGCAGGTTCCAGCCCCTGTTGGGTCTTTTGCTCACGAACCATCTAACGGCAAGTGAATTGTCAAAGCTCTCTGCCTCTCAGTGTCTTCTTCTCCTCTCCCCAACCCTTGCTCTGGAGGAGCCTCACACGGACCCCCGGCCCTTTGCCTAAGGAAGGAACCAACGGGTGAAAGAATGAGACCAGACAAGAGCCCTGGCACACAGCACTCACCAAACCGCTTCCGGGTCCACCAGTGAGGCTCCTTGATGGCGGAGAACTTCACCTCTGGGTGCAGCCGCAGGCGGTCATAGAGGTCGGTGGTCCCGCACTTGGGCTGCCCGATGATGTAGAAATGGGGGAGGCAGCGCAGGCGGAAATGCTTCCCATTGGCGTGGGACAGGTGGCCCCAGAAGGCCTTGCGGAGGGCGTCGAAGGTGGAGCGGAACCGCTTGGAGTACAGCACGTAGGAGTTGGTCAGGTAGGGGTCGGTGGTGTTCCGCCCTGAGAACTCCTCGTACCAGCAGGGGCTCTTGCTACTGGCAAGGAACTTACTGGGGATTACTGAGAACATCTGCAACGAGAAAGAAAAAGAGGGACAGATGCAGAGGCAAGACAAATTAGCAAGGACACATTCTAGCCACAACGTGGACAGGTCCCGATATGGATAAGAGTGCTCAGATCTGAGCTATGATTTGACCCTGATTAAAAAAATCAAACCCAGCAAAACGTGGTAGACAGCCAATGACTACGTTTTGCTTTTCCCCAAATTAAAATAAAATGGAAACAATAAGGAGAAAAGTTTAATCGTTCTACCGTAAATTTACCTTTCCTGCACTTAAACACACACAGCGATCAAATGAAATCAAAGAGTCAGAATCTTTTTACAAGTTGCGTCTTTAAATTGCCTTCAGCGACAGAAATATCGATGAGGACAGAATATAAACAGGAAATCAGATTGCATCTAACTTGAAAATCCCAAATGATGGTGATCTGCAAGGGAAACTTTAGCTACCGTAACCACATTTCAAGCAAGAAGTCCTGGGATACGATGGCAAGAGGGGCTGGCCCTGAAACATTTCTAGCTGTGCTATGCAGGGCAGCAGATTCCCCTCTTGATGCTCGCTAGCATAAGCAGACAGCACTCTCTCTGTGTGTTCTGCTCCATGAGGCTGTCCAATTATCCTTGCTACATCTGAGACATTTTTAAGTCATTTTCCTTCTGTGTTCCCAAAATGGTGCCAGCATAGGAAGCATCCACTCTTTAAAATCAATCACTCCACCAAGATTAGCATGAGGCTACTCACATGCACTTCCTGCTTCTTGAGGTCCTTTAAGTCTGGGAGTTGTCTGGTCGTGAACTCAATCCTGGCTGCGATGCTGCTGATAATTAACTTAATGCTTGGATAGTCCTTCACGTACGAGATGTTATTTACTGGCGGGGGGTGATGTTCTTTCGAGTCGCTTGGGTTTTCGCTGTCCATCAAGCTGGGGTTGCTGGGGAAGCCTCCGTAATGGAAAGGCGATGAGATCAGAAGCTCTTGGTGGGCCCCAGAAAGGATGTAAGAAGCCATCACCAAGGTCATGATTATCAGTCCAAAAACAAGGCTGCATCGCTTGCCCTTCTTAAAGCGCAAAAACCCACCCCAGTTCTCGTTCCCTTCAGGCCTCACTTCGAGAACGGCAAGCAAGTTCATCTGCTTACCGTCCACGCGAAACAGAATTTTGTTCTCTCCTTTGCACGTGGGGCACGCCCGGGGACCGTGATGGGCAGCCCCTTGGCAGCCGGCCTGCTGTGTGTGTGTGTCGTCGGGTAACAACTGTATGCAACAATTAATGCAGTGCCTCATGGTAGTGCCCTTGGACCACGGGCTTACTGAGCCATGGGGGAGCCCCCCAGGAATCCGGGTGCACGCAGGTCGTGCCGGAAAACTTTAAGGACGTCCTGTGATTACATAGGATGACTAGAAGGCATGAGCAACGAAAACTTACAGAAATGAAGAAATGAGCAGACACCGAAGCGCTAGAGACAGAGAAAGCACATTCTTTGGTTCAGCTCTGAAAGGCAGCACAAGGGAGTGATCTCCAATCCTCATGTCCTATGAGAGCTACTACAACCACAGGGAGGGTCACAAGTTGGGGAGCAGTTCTGCCTATCCTTCAGGTTTTTCCCATGGCACCAAAAAAAGTGGAAGAATTGTCACTGGAGAACACAGAACCACACGAGAGATGAGAAGAAATCATGGCCTTCTCCCAGACAGACGGATCGTCATGCCATCCATGGGGGTGCCTGTGAGGACCTCAACTTTGACACCCCGAGTTCCTTTGGAATGTTTCCTCTTCGTGGGGAGCAGACTCTTTAAAATGTCAGATTTCCTAAACGAGAAGAAGAGAAGTCTTATTTCATTATGTGATCATTGCAACACCCAGGGCTCATCTTCCAAGGAGGAATAGATGCCCATTCTCTGTTTTCCACTGCTAAGATCCAGTCAAACCCGCCTGGTCACAAGCAAATTATACGGATAAGGGCCAGGCGTGGTGGCTCAAACCTGTAATCCCAGCACTTTGGGTGGCCGAGGTGAGGGAACTGCCTGAGCCCACGGGTTCGAGAACAGCCTGGGCAACTTGGCGAGAACTCATCTCCACAATAAATTTAAAAAATGAGCTGGGCATGGTAGCACATGCCTAGAGTTCCAGCTACTTGGAAGACTGAGGCAGAAGGATCGCCGGAGCCCCAGCAATTCGACACTGGAGTGACCATGAGTGTGCCACTGTGCTCCAGCCTGGGTGACAGAGTGAGACTCCAACTCAAACAAAAAAAGAAAGAAAGAAAGAAAAGAAAATTATAAGGATAAACGGAGGGCTTTCAGCCCCTTGTGCTTGGCATTGAGGCTCAATCTCCATCACCAAATGTGGCCCCAATACCAGCATTCCCAGCGCCACGTATCTCGTGCACAGCCCACATGTCTTCTAACATCTCTGTTTTTGATGGATCTGAGTTATGGGTTCCCCTGCATCCCAGGTTTTTGTGATCATTCTCAGATTCGTGCACAGTCAACAACTAGGAATTTGAGGGATGGGTTGAAATATCAGAGCTCTGCAGGCAACAAAAAAATCTGAAGAAGGGTAAGGAGGTAGATGGTTAGGAGGAGGGCAGGTAGAAAAAAGACAGTTTCTTCCCCCTACCCCTCTTCCTATAGCATCAGTCGTCTCTTACCCACAGCTACCCTCTATTATCAGATTAGGAAGCAAAAGTTAATGAAAATTTAGAAGTAATGAAATGATTCTCTCCTTCAGTAGAGTGTATCATATAAAAAACCATTTGACTTTAAGTTATTAAGCAATTAAATCCAATGTATAGTATTCCCCTGAGTAACACTGGCACTTCAGACCCTGAAATAATTTTTCACTTTCATTGTCCTGAGGAAGACACGATTCTGAAAAACCCATTAATAGAATCCTGTGGTTATAACATGTCTTGTTGCACAGATGACACGTCCTCGTAGATGTCTTTAAAAAAAAGCATCAGGCCGGGCTCGGTGGCTCAGCCTGTCATCCCGCGCCTTTGGGAGGCTGAGGTGAGTGGATTGCCTGAGCCCACGGGTTCGAGACCCGCCTGGGCAGCGAGACCTCATCTCTGCAATCAATCAAAAAATCAGCCGGGCGTGGTAGCGCATGCCTGTAATTCTGGCTACTCAGAAGGCTGAGGCGGAAGGATCGCCGGAGCCCAGCAGGTCGAGGCTGCGGTGGCCGGGAGCGGCCACTGCACTCCAGTCTGGGCGACAGAGTGAGACTCCAACTCAAAAAAAAAAAAGCATCAGATGTGCCAAAAATGAGACCGTCTTAGTTTCTAGCAATCAGAGACCACCATAACTGGCTGTGTGAGCTTCAGCAAGCCATAGTGCCTCTATGAGCTTTGGTTTCCTCACCAGTAAAATGAGGATAATAAGAATACCTCTCTTACAAGTTTGTAGCAAGTACTAAATTAGCTACCACATAGAAAGACTTTGCATAATGCCTGACACATATTTAGCATCCCATAAAGGGCAGGTAACATGGACAATAATAGCATCACCAATGATTACTATCATGATTTTTAATTGTCAGTGAATGCCCTAAACACGTCAAATGGAATCGAAGATGGGAGACCCTGTATCACATTATTTTAAGCCTTAGCGATTGAGAATTGCTCAAGGGTGATACACTCACCTCCAACTCCACACAAACCTCCCAAGCCATCCTTACTGTCCCCAGAGAGGTGGCATTCACGAACCCTACATTAAAGCTTCTGTGTATCGTAGGCTGAAGGACTGAACAATAAGAACTCACCAGAAGAAGCATTCATTTTCTCTGGACTGAAATGCCCATGTTTTCTCAAAATATGGTGGCCAAGAAATAGCCAAGCAGTGTTCCCCAAAACGTCTTCCACCCACAAGATGCTCTGCTGGCTACTGCTAAGTGCTCTGTGCTTAAATTATATGGAAGAAAGGTGGGATAGGCATAAATACAGAGAAATCTGTACAGCAGGATTTTTCAGGGCCTTTGGTAGGCTAATAAGCCTTGTGAATTCACAAGAGAGGAGTATAATAATGAAATTACAAAACAGAATCGGCCAAGGAACCTCACGATGGTCTCAAGGAACCAGTCTGGGAAAGGCTGGTCAGGATAAAAGCTGAGATATGAATCAGGCAGAGGCGCTGGGGCAGTTGAGACAAGGGGGAGGGTGGAGTTGGGAGGAGAACACTCTGGGAAGCCAGGCCAGACATTTCAGGCCCCACGGCCCCCTCCTGTCCCTGAGGGCAGCTGGAGGGACATGTCAGGACCCTCAAGGCTCAAACCCCTGTTTCAAACTTGCTCAACCACCCCTGACCCATCGCTTGGTACAAACAATTCTTCCAAACTAAAGAAACAAAAGGGCACGATCCCCTACTTGGAAACTCCATCACTAAAGCCAAGAAAACATTTTTCCGCACGTCGAGAACAAGGCCGAGCCCGGGTTAAAAATGAGACTCCAACCAGCAGCTCGGTGGGGAGCGAGTTCGCACCCTTCTGTCTTTCTGCCGCAGAAGGTCTAATTAGATTCTTTAAAAAAAAACAAAACAAAACACGGACTTTGAAGCTCCAAGACAGGAATGTACCTAATCTGGACCCAACAGAATGGGCAAAACATCCCTAAACAAGATCAAAGGTATCTCATTGCAAGCAAAATGATCAAATAAACCTGGGGAGTCGGGAGAGCTGACAGTCTCAACAGAGAGGAGGTGACAACAGAGCTCCTGGACAGGGTGAGACAGAGCATCTGTGTGCTAGCAGTTGCCCCTCCAGCCAGAACCACCTCTCCAAGTCTCGCTTCCTAAACAGAAAGAACTAGGGAGACCATTCAAGGTGCCCGAAGAGCCTTAGAACAACACGCAGATTCGGTGTTCTCTCATCTCCTATCATTCATTCATTTGTTCTATCATTCATTCATTCGCTCAACAAATACCTTCTGTGTGCCAGGCACAACCAGGCGGAAGTGGTGATGCCAAGATAAATATATGTGTGTTGGGTCGTCATGCCCAGTTGCTGGTACATAGCTTCTAAAACCCTCAGAATTTGATGAGTCATAAGGTGATAGGAGCATCTTTCACTATGTGTAACAAGGCCTTTTCAACCATACCTGAATGTTTGCTTATGAGGTGACTTTCGGTGGGCTCCCAGATAGCCCCAGGATGGGGGCTGGTCACCAGAAAGACCAAGCCTCGATTAGAATCTTGGAACTTTCTTTTTTTGTTGTTGTTGTTGTTTTTGTTTTTTTTTTTTTGAGTTGGAGTCTCACTCTGTCACCCAGACTGGAGTGCA